CTTGGAAGGTTTGGATTGACACTGTCTCCAGCTACAAATTAGCTGGTAACATTATTCCCCATCTCTTCTAAACCCCTGCCTGCCCCCCTTTCAAATTCATCCTCTTCTTGAATCACTTTCTTTTCGACTCTGGCTATATCTTGCCAATGGAATCCAGATCGTTCCCAGTCTGAGACCAATTTTATAATGGGAGAAGATGAGAAAGCGTAATCACAAAACACTAAGTTTCTAAGTAAAGGCCTCATTCACTTAAAGTGTAATAAAGCAGGGTATATGGTATGTTCCTGAAAAACCACTAGAATGAGCTGCAAAGGACATCCATCCAGTGACATCTCCTTCTCATAGCTGTGACTTTTGCAAAAAGACTGAGTAATTTCTTCTTTCACTCAATGTTTTTGGAATACTTCTGGATATAAAAGTCATATTTTGAGGTCATTTGTGCACACATCAATACTTCAACATTGCTCTATTGTCTTTATACTTATGTTTCAACATTTTTTATTAATAAAAATCTAAGTGTATCTACTGAGTGTGTTAATCCATAATCAACAACAAAAACTACAACTATGGCAAACTACTTCAGTAGCTTATACAAGTGAGAGGTGTTTTTTTCTTGTGTAACAGGTTGGCTGGATGTGGGCAGTCCAGGCTGCAACAGCTGCCTAAGGATGTCCAGGAATCAGGCTCTGTCTCTCTTCCTGCTCTGCCATCCATAGTGTGTGGCTTCTATCCAAATGGCCACAGCATGGCTGCTGTGCATCCAGGAAAGAAGAGAGGGGAATGCAAATGGGCTTTCTTAACCCAGGCTTTGTTCCAGAAGGGAAAGCCTCCATAGAGACTTGTGTCTATATTTCATTGACCAGAACAGTCACATAGCTTACCCTAGCTGCAAAGGAGTCTGGGAAGGTAAATATTTTACTTTCCAACCTCTGAGATAGAGGCCCCTCTATCTCAAGGGGTAAGCAAGGGAAGGGGTGTAGGATTGGGTGTCAACCTACAACTTCTTACGTATATAACAATGAATGCAACTTACAGCTGCCTTCCTCCTCTGCAACCTACTAAATGGTTTCACAATAACACACAAAAATTATGAAGGCAAGATGCTTTCTAAATTATGAAATGCTTTGTGAATGTTACTATGGGGTATATTTAAATGATTAATTGAATTTTCAAACTCTAAGGTTGTTTTGTTTTGTTTTGTTTTGTTTTGTTTTTGTGGTACGCGGGCCTCTCACTGTTGTGGCCTCTCCCGTTGCGGAGCACAGGCTCCAGACGCGCAGGCTCAGCGGCCATGGCTCACGGGCCCAGCCGCTCCACGGCATGTGGGATCCTCCCGGACCCGGGCACGAACCCGTGTTCCCTGCATCGGCAGGCGGACTCTCAACCACTGTGCCACCAGGAAAGCCCTCTAAGGTATTTTATGAAAACATTGCTCGTCTCTTACTTTGATTCCATACTTGATATACCAGGAATATATACTCTCAACCAGTAAGATAGCACAATTTTCTTTCTTTTCTGTAGTCATTCTTAACTGTAGACACTAGCTCTGGGTCACCTTCAGTGAACAGCTCCCTTTCTATCTCCAGCTATTCTGTTCTTCTCACATCTATCTCTTTGTATCTGAGAGTAGGAGCTGTACCTGAATTACAGGAAGGAAGGAACTGCCAACTCACTGACTGGCTATATATTCTTCTTCCTTTTTCTACTGCACAGTTTGTCTTAGCGCTGATTTATTGGGTTGAGTAGTTGCATCCAGACAGCTACATGCCAATCACGCGTACCCTGGTTACTCATTATGAGCCTTAGGATACCATACAACTCACTAATGAGCACATTATAATGTTGGCCAGTGCTAATTAGATGATAATCATGTGCATTGCTTTATTTACAGTCTATCCATTTAAATTAATTTGACATTTAATTGAATACAGTGTGAAAGAAATTGGAATTGTGTTTCAAATTTCGTTTAAGTTAATTTCACCTGACGTCTCTTATAGGCAGGTGAGATTATTCACTTGATCTGGAAATTTTCAGCAAATACAAATGGACATAATGCTTATTTTATAATGGCACACACGCATATGTAAATTTATCTCAAAATGTGTTTGGAAACAGCAACCAAATTTGCAATTTTTTATCTCCACTAATATCCTTATGTGCTCTGACTGCAGAGAGATTCTGCATGCATAAGAGATATTAATAGATCCAACTCTTAGTTGGAAACATGAGGCAGGATCCTAAAACAACCTGAATAGAATATTCTGATATTATCTTAGGATAGGAAACTTACATTTAATTCATGAATAAATATGTGGCGAACTATACCTAATTATGATCCTATGTATTTTCCTCTTTCAGGACATAGCATCAAAAAATTAAAGGATCGACCTTTTTAAGTGAGTGTATGATTGCCAAAAAATTGCATGCATGACTGCACTACTAAATTCAAAGTCTTTTTATTGAAACGATTTCCTAACAGCACATGTAGAATAGACTTAGAGTAACTGTATGAAAAGGTGTTTCTATACAAAAGGATCTGGAGGCCAACTCTTCTATTTTTTTCTCAAATAGTAGCATTTCTGGTTTATGGGTATCTGCTTTCATGCAGTTTTGAGACACTTACATGACAGAATTTCTTTAGGCCTCTCTCATTCTTGAGAATAGTTTGCTAGGTATACAATTCCAGGATGGAGATAATTTTTCCCTCAGAACTCTGAAGGCGAATCTTTATGTCTTCTGACTTTTAGTGTCATTGTCAAGAGATCCTATGTCATTATGTTTCTTTATTATATGTCTCTTAGAAAATTTTAGTATCTTCTCCTTTCCCCCAGTTTTCCAAAATTGCATAATCGTGTGCCCAGGTAGGATCTTTTTTTATTTATTTTATTTGACGCTTGGTGAACTCTTTCAAGTTGGAAATTCACAACCTTCAATTATAGGACATATTCTTGGACTATTTAATCATTTTTCCCCTCAGTTTTCTCTACACTGTCTTTCTGGAACTGCTGTTAGCTAATTATTGCATCTCCTGAATTGTTGCTCTAAATTTTATTTTCTAACTCTTCATCTCTTTCTGTCCTACCCTCAGGGAAATTTCCCCAACTTCATCTTCCAATCCTTCTATTTTTTTCTTCTGTAAACTTTTATTAACTGGGGTAACAGGGAGAGTTTGATCACAGCAGAACCCATCCTGAAAGCATTAGAAATTACAGAAAGACGAGATAAGTGTCAGACACAACAGATTAAGCAAGTCCCTCCATCACCTGAGAAACAATAATATAAAACTGTAGAAACCAAATCTTTGTGAGTGATATAGGATACGGAACAAAAATGAAGACATTGGAACTCCTGGTGTTGCAAAATAAACTTGCAACTTCATTTCTATATTTTTGAAGTTGTAATTCAATGTTTTTCCCAAATCATTTCAAGCCTTCTCCAGTCAACATTTTCCCTCTCATCAATAACTTCCAAGGACCTTATTTAAAAAATAACTCTTTCTTTAAAATTTTTATTTATTTAATTTATTTATTTTTGACTGTGTTGGGTCTTCGTTTCTGCCTGTGGGCTTTCTCTAGTTGCAGCGAGTGGGGGCCACTCTTCATTGCAGTGCACGGGCTTCAGTAGTTGTGGCACATGTAGGCTTCAGTAGTTGTGGCACATGGGCTCAGTAGTTGTGGCTCGTGGGCTCTAGAGCACAGGCTGAATAGTTGTGGCTCATGGGCTTAGCTGCTGCGTGGCATGTGGGATCTTCCCGGACCAGGGCTTGAACCCATGTCCCCTGCATTGGCAGGCAGATTCTTAACCACTGCGCCACCAGGGAAACCCCTAAAAAATAACTCTTAATCATCCGTTTTTCTCACCCCACACATTCTATTCCAGGAAACTGGCAGCCTCCCAGCACAGAGCTTATGTTCCTCCTCTTTGAAATGCAAACTTAAACAGATTTTGGTCTTCTTTCTTCAATATTACAAGATGAGCACATGCTTACTGCAAAGCTTAATTCCTTCTCATGGCATTTTTATTCTGCAGCTTACTTGTCACTGCCATTTGTCATAACTTAACTAGAATGCTGTCCTCCACCCTCTCCCTCCCTGACTTTGCAACCATCAATGCTCCTGACCTAACTAGTTAACCTGTTAAACCACCTGTGTGGTTATTTACCAGGAAACACTGGACCAGAAACAAATAATATACCTCAATATACAATAGCTCAGGCTTAATTTGTAGGCAGAATTTCATTTGTTGGCCATAGGAAGAAAACACTTATACAAGGTAAAATTCACTATTTTCATTTCACGCTGGGATTTGAAGAAACAAAGGACAGCAACCAATGTGGAGGGGGACAAGGCTTGGGATAGAGCCCCCTGCTCCAGGCACACCGGCAGAATCTAGTCCAGTAAATGGGGACTTCACCACCCACATACTACACCTTGAATCTATAAATCAACATCCCTGACTGGTAAGCTCCTGCTAATACTTGCCTTTTTCTGCCCCTTTCAGCCTGAGAGCATCCAGAGTATCAAAGTCCTCCTTTCCCCATCTTCATCCTTAGACATAAATGAATCTGCTTTCACATGCAAGAAAACTTCAGTCAAAAAATACAGTTGGTCTTCAGTCCTTCTGTTCTTCTCCATATGATCTTGGCCCAGCTCAGTAAACATTTGTCGAGTGCCTATTCTCGACCAGGCTTTGTGTACACTGAGGGTTCAAAAATGCAAAGGATGGTTCTCTGTCCCTGAGAAATTCAGAGCCTCATTTCTTCCAAGTCTTGCTAATACCCACGTAGTAACTGGGACTGGCTCCTGCATGGAGAAAGCACTGGGTGATGGCTGAGTAGCTGCTTGACACTGGATTCTCACTGCCACTGACCCTAGTTTCTTTCATTTTCTATATACAGACATTTAAAACTAAATTACTATTGAAAGTCATTAGAAATCAGCTCGGGTGCCAATGTATGACCACGTCTGTAAAAGTAAAATATCATTATTTCTGCTTAAAGAAAAACAAAAAAAAAACCCACAGCACTTCTGTAATTGGTGCACCAACTGCGCATGAAGTTCTCAAGTCAGGTCAACTGATGGGGGCTCCTGTGGTGACTAGTTTGTAGTAGGCTCCTTTCTGGGCCATCAGTTCTTCATGGGTCCCCTTTTCAATCACTATCCCCTGTGACATGACAGCAATGATATCCGAGTTCCGGATGGTGGACAAACGATGGGCAATGACAATGCAGGTCCGACCTTCTCTGGCTTTGTCCAAGGCGACCTGCACCGTCTGCAAAGGGAAGATGGAAAGTTGATGCAAAGACGCATGCTTGTTCCCTGGCCCACCATCGCGAGAGTTCTGTTTCATACCACTTGATTAACATCTCTATATTTGGGGGTTAAACCCAAAGGCTTGACAGGAGAGAGAGGATTAAATAAATATTTGCTGAATGCAATGCATCAGTGACTTAAATTGCAGTCTACAAGCTGAAAAATTTCAGTGAAGCCAGAATGAACCAAACTACAAGATCACAAAGTAATTTTACAATACTTGAGGGTCTAGATTGCTAAAATGAAACCAAGGAAACAATGTAAGGTAACAGTTAGATGGTCACTCCTGGGCTTCCCTGGTGGCGCAGTGGTTGAGAGTCCGCCTGCCGATGCAGGGGACACGGGTTTGTGCCCCGGTCCTGGAAGATCCCACATGCCGCGGAGCGGCTGGGACCGTGAGCCATGGCCGCTGAGCCTGCGCGTCTGGAGCCTGTGCTCCGCAACGGGAGAGGCCACAGCAGTGAGAGGCCCGCGTACCGCAGGAAAAAAAAAAAAAAAGGTCACTCCTGATACTGTTCCTCATTGAGGACATTTTAGCTCTCTCCAAAACAGAATCCTGACTTTTAAGGAGTTAATTCTAAATGGTAAATTTCATAATTGTGTTTCGCCCAATTACATTTCCTTTCATGCAAACTGCACATCAGATACCGCCTCTGACTTTGCGTTGTATGCTTCCCACCTGCTCTGCCATGGAACTTTAGAACTATAAAATATGAAACGCCTATCAGATGGCCTGGATTCTTTTATTTTATTTAAGAAAGCTCATTATTTGCCCATGAAAAAAGTGTCACCTAGCCTAAACAATCTTAAAAACAATTCTTATTTTAAAGTGAAAATAATTTTTTTATTTGAAGCAATCCTATTTCAAATCACTTTCTCTAGACTATTGTCTTTGGGAGCTACAAAGGAGTGGTAATTTCTCCTCCTAATGAATCAGAAAGTTAACAATACTGCCATTTTATAAGGACAAATATTACAGCAAAAAACTCATTTATAATGATCTAAGACTTTAGAAAGTCAGTACCTACCTTTTCACTTTCTGTGTCCAAGGCAGAAGTAGCTTCATCTAGTAGCAAGATTTTAGGATCTCGTATGATGGCCCGAGCAATAGCAATGCGTTGTTTCTCCCCTCGAGAGAGTTGAGACCCCTGGGACCCAACATTAGTTTCATATTTCTGGAAAAAAATATGGTAAGTTTGAGAACCAGAAACAGCCATTGTTCCTGTGCTGTAGGGAGCCCACATCAATGACCCCTCTGAGGATTTAAACAATTTGTTTTTTTTGAAATTGGGAATAATTTGTATAAAGGATGTCAAATCCATTTAGGCATATTAAAAAAATATGGCGTTTTATGACCTTTCGTGTTGGGAAACACGGGGACTTTGTATCCCTTTCTCTGCATTCCTTTTAGGTTTGTATTTTTGATCTCTGTCTCCTTGCGTATGAGATCCTCCCTGATTTAAGATTCCCTGATTTCCCAACTCCTGTCTGGAAGATCTTTCCAAGACAGAATGATCCTAGGCATATAAGGGCCTTCAAGAGATCTCCTGGTCCATTCCCTTGTTGAGGTAGCCTCATTCTGGAACACAAGCCTAACTTTCAATCTTCACCCTTGCTGCATACCAGCTCTGTGATCATGAACAAATTATTTAAATTTCTGTGAGCTTCATAACTAGTTAACATATTTGTTGTTTTAGATGAAATTATGAAGGAAAATCCCTACCTGACGCCTACGTAGAAAACAGTTACATTCGCAGAGTTTTTACCATGCATCAGGTGCTGTACTAGCTATTCTAGCCAGCTTATCATTTAATGTTTACAGAAATCACTTCCTCCCGATCACTATTTTTCAGTTTCCATGTCTTAATTTTCTTAGTGATCAACCACCAAGAAAGACCCTTGGTGGATGGAAAAATGCAGAGTCAATATCACACTACATTCAAACTTGGCTCTGGGAAAGTGAGGAACTCCAAGGCAAATGCAACTTACCCACCACGCACAGGAGTTGCTGCCAAGTAATGAAATGATCATGGTGATAATAGTAACAGCAGCAGCTTTCTTTCTGAGGCTATTATGTGTGCTCTCTCATTCTGTTATTTTTTGCATTTTGTAGACGACTGAGTCTCAGAAAAGTAATTGTTACAGAAGTAACTTTACACTAGAAAGTGGCCAAGCTTGGATTCAAATCAATGTCTGTTCCAAATCTCAGGATGTTTTTCCGTTATGCTAAGCTGATGCTCAGTGTGGTACTGCTTCACTTACAACAAGTAACAGAGCATCCTTTGCATTGGATAATATACTACTTTCCAAAACTAAAGATTATGTTGATGAAGGACATTCATTTTGCGTAAAAGACTGAGACGATCTCGGGGCACTGGGAAATAAGTTGTGTTGCCTTTGACCTTCTCCGTGAGCCACAGTCATAATACTTTTTAGTCATTCTACCTCTCTTCCTCCCTGTCTGCCACAGGGAATGACTCTGACTTGGTACCCACCTCTGGAAGGGACATGACAAAGTCATGCAGCTGAGCCTGCTTTGCGGCTTCTATGACTTTTTCCGTGGGGATTTCTTTGGTGTTGTCTCCATACTTGATATTGTCCACTATGCTACAGGCAAACAACACTGGTTCCTGGGAAACGATTCCAATCTTCGAGCGGAGAAACTGGACGTTTACATTTTTGCTGTCATGCCCATCTATCATCTGCCAAATAGAGGTGACAGCCAGCGCACTGAGTTTTAGAATTCCAGCAGTGAGGAAAGTTTGTATCCTAGAGTTAGTGTTATGCAAGATATTTGCTTTGCCTAACAGACAACAATCTAAGGATTCTTGGAAATAAATTATGTTGCCTTTGACCTCTGGAGGTGGTGTCTGCCAGAAGTGGTGTCAAAGTTGTGATCAGACATGGTTGTTTGTTTCCCAAATTCTAGTTCTACGGGTAGCATTATACAAACAGGAAAGGCACTCCAGACAGTATCTAGTTAAGAAAAAAAACAACTTCCCCTTATCCTTTGGTGCAGCACATCCTCTCCAAGTACACAGAATTGCTCAATTTTGAGACTCCATGGGTTATGAAATGGGGTTTCCTATGAAAAGCTGTTGGACAATGTAAGAATCAAACCTGTTTCCTTGATTTCACTGATACTAACCTCTGAATAATTGAGATAACAGACCCCAGTAAGAAAGGAGTACATTTATTCACTTAGTCAACCAACAAACATATATTGAATTACCTGCCACAAAGGCACCACGCTAGACAGTCTTTTGTATGCTATATAAAGAAAAAATAATTTGTAGTGAGGTGGATGGACCTAGAGTCTGTCATACAGAGTGAAGTAAGTCAGAAAGAGAAAAACTAATACCATATGCTAACACATATATATGGAATCTAAAAAAAAAAAAAGTGGTTCTGAAGAACTTAGGGGCAGGACAGGAATAAAGATGCCAGATGTAGGGAATGGACTTGAGGACACGGGGAGTGGGAAGGGTAAGCTGGGATGAAGTGAGAGAGTGGCATGAACTTATATACACTACGAAATGTGAAACAGATAGCTAGTGGGAAGCAGCCACATAGCACAGGGAGATCAGCTCGGTGCTTTGTGACCACCTAGAGGGGTGGGATAGGGAGGGTGGGAGTGAGATGCAAGAGGGAGGAGATATGGGGATATATGTATACATATAGCTGATTGACTTTGTTATGAAGCAGAAACTAACGCAACATTGTAAAGCAATTATACTCCAATAAAAATGTTAAAACAATAATAAAGAAAGAAAGAAAAAATCTCTGTTTTTTAGGAATTCATGATCTATCTAGGCAGTTAATTACAGGAACTCATATGTCTACCATTTGAGCTCTTTCACTTAACAGGCTTAGAATAGTAAAGGTACAGTATGTCTCACATACTGTAATACTGTAAAGTATTTGGCCCCATGATTTCAGAAAAAGATTATATTAAATGGTGTAAATATATGATGTTTTCGATAATTTTTTCACAGTGTAAAAAACAAACACTACTAGAAAAAATATAAGGCATTCTTCAACAATTAGCCCTCGCTCATCTTCCTCTATGCGTTTTCCATAGTACTGATAGACTGCAAAGCACGATTTAACAATTAAATACTGGAGCTGTTTGCTAATTGTTGTCTATATGCTAGTATTGTAAGCTCCTAGAAGACATAAGACATGCTTCATGCTCCTTAGAATTTCTCACAGGGCCTAATGCAGTGCTGGGCACATCACAGGTACCCAATTAAACATTGAAAACGTTGAATGTTTGCGTTTGTTAGCTTCCTTAAAAGCAAAGAGGATTTTTAAAAATTGCATTAACGGTGGTATTTTTCCTACTGAAAAATGTTTGTAGAAACATTTTATGATGATGTAACAAAATATATTGTGTCTATGAAGTGCAAGGAATCATACTGATTTCTTCATGGGCATTGCTTTCTACCTGTGACCAGAACATTCACTGAGTACATTCAGAGAAATATACTTAATATACATGTTAGTGTTGAAGAAGTCAAACATGAAGGATTCAGGTCCCTGCATGTCATGTAGTTCACAGTCTACCTGGGTGATAGACATGAAAGATCTGACATTTGGGGAAACTGGATCCTCTCCTTTGTAGAGATCAGACTCCCAGTGCAACGTACTTTCTAGATTCATCAATCACCAAATACTTTCAAACAAATTAAAATCTCTATACCTAAAATTAATAAAAGTGATTATAAACTACAGATAATCAACTCTTACTCCTTATTTTCATAACTTCCTGGATTTTACCACTATGTGTTTGCTTGCTTTCTTGTTTTGCTTTATGCAAGGGAAACTTTAGTTGCCTCTTTCAAGTTTCTTTCAGCATTTCTCATCATGTTATCTATCCTCATTGCAATGAACATTATACTATTCAGGGATATCAGAAAGTCCTTTTTCAAAAAAGAAGGATTAAGTAATCAATCAGACCCACACCTCTGAATCATTTCTTAGAAAACTACTTGCAGATGCACTCCAACAAAATGAGACGGAAAACTGAAGAAAGAGGAAGATACGGGAACTAGGAAATAATGGATCTAATGCAAAAGATACTGCAGGAAACTCATAGGCTGACAGTTGTTCAGCAGGTGTAGGATGTAATTAGTCCAGGCAGTGGCAGAAATAAGGGAAAGAAGCAGGTTCCTCTGAATAGGTATCAGGAGAGATACACTGGAAGAAACTAAAGATTTTATAAAGGCAGAGAATGCAAGAAAAAAGAAAGTCTTTCAGAAAAACAATCAAGAAAGAAAAATGTAATGCTAATGTACCTCACTACTTAACTATGAGATGAACAATATTTACTTAGCCATAATAAAAGTTGTTAGTAGATTTTCAACTTTTAGAATCAACCTAGAGTAAAAGTGTGAAAGATAATAAATGTTATAAACAAAAGGTAAGCATTTTATATATATTTTTTAAATGTGGTACATATATACAATGGAATATTACTCAGCCATAAGAAGGAATGAAACTGGGTCATTTGTAGAGATGTGGATGGACCTAGAGTCTGTCATACAGAGTAAAGTAAGGCAGAAAGAGAGAAACAAATATCGTATATCAACGTATATATGTAGAATCTAGAAAAATAGTGAACATATTTGTAGGGCAGGAATAGAGACATAGATGTAGAGAACAGACACATGTGGACACAGTGGGGGAAGGGGAGGGTGGGACAAATTGGGAGATTAGGTTTGACATAAATACACTACCATGTGTAAAACGGATAGCTAGTGGGAACCTGCTGTATAGCAGAGGGAGCTCAGCTTGGTGCTCTGTGACGACCCAGATCAGGGGTTGAGGTGGGGGAGGGGGAGGGAGGGAGGTCCGAGAGGGAGGGGATATATGTATACATATAGCTGATTCACTTCACTGTACAGCAGAAACTAACACAACATTGTAAAGCAATTATACTCCAATTAAAGAAAAAAAGATAATATAAAAGTATAGTTATTAGGACTTGAGAGGTAAAAAGAGGGAGGAAGAGGTGAAAATAGAGGTAGAATTGCTAATATTCTCATCTTAGAAAATGAGAATTCAAGAGATGTTATCTATAGGTGATGGAAAAGAAACAGAATTGTATTGATTAAATTTACAAATAAAAGAACTTTTAAAAGTAATGTAACCATATTGGGAGGAGGTGGGTAAAGGGAGGGGGAGAAGTGAGGGTAAGCTAAATTTCCATCTCTTGAGAATAAATCAACAGAGGGTCTAAATTCGTTAAATCGTGAAACAGCAGCATAAGCATATTATTTAGGGACTTTGAGGTAATCATTGGGAGATCTAAAAACATAAAGTGGTTAAAGATAGTTGCCTTTGAGCAGGAAAATGGAGAATGGGGGGTGGAAAGGGTGGAATAAGGGGTTGGTTTTGTTTTGGTTTTTTTAACAAATCTTTCTTATTCTACTTTGTGCTCCTTTGCATATATTATTTGGAAAAAATAGAAAGGAAAAAGAAAAGAAGAGAAAAGAGGAAGAAATTCTGTGGAAAATAAGCAACAAAGCAAACCACCAATCTTTCACACATCCTAACCAAAGATTTATGGCATATGACTACCAATGTGAGGTCCTTATATTATTTAGGCTTTAGCTTCTTGAACCAGGATTGTCTCGGATTTTTCATACTAAATTCCCTTTCTTACTCATTTATCATTGTGTTTCTTATCACCCCCACTTTTTCCATTCCCAGTCATTAGTTTCCTGATTAGTCTGCACTTTCTGCCCCATTTACAGTAAGTGAATGCTTCTGTTAAGTACACTCATCTCCAGCTTTGCAGTTTTCTTTGCCTAACTGGGCAGCAGACCATCTGGAACTGGGAAGACTATAATGTTAGAAATTGTGAGGTGGAATCAGGTCAACCAGCAAATGACTGGAACTGGAAAATACTGTCCAAGGCAAGCGCTTTGGAATGAGTCTGGCAAGACACAACCTTGAAGATGACTTTTAGGGGTTGGAGATACTCTGCAGAAAGCCAAATTCTCAAATGCATTGAGAATTTTGCATTGCTTACCACCTTCCCTTGGTCAGGGTCATAGAAACGTTCCAACAGCTGAATACTGGTGCTTTTACCACATCCACTGCTTCCAACAAATGCCAGGGTTTGCCCTGGACCAACAGACACTGAGAGACCATTCAGAACTTGTATATCAGGTCGGGAAGGATATGTAAATTTACAGTCAACAAAGTCAATCTGCCCCTGGAAGTTGTCCTGTGGACGGGAAGATTAGAATTATATATGCTCTACTAGAATCTAGACTATTGAAAATGCACATAAGCCTGAGTTTTAAATCCTTGCTTAAGATACCTTCAACACCAAGCTGCTGAAGTGCAAAGTACAAAGACAGCAACTTAATGAAATGGCATTCTATTCCAGCAGATGTAGAATAAAAGGAGGCTTGAGCATTGAATTTAAAGATATTTGATCTCTTATTCCCATTCTAACCTAAGGGGATTTCCTTGTCACCCATTCTTTGACATTCTGCATGGAAGAAAATAGAGGATATGATTACATCACAGAAGCCAGTAACTGTGCAAATTCCTACAGCTCTGTTCCCCCAGAGATTTAAAATAATAGCATTACACTTGAAATGACTTACACAGAAAGTTACTTGAGCCCTGAATTGCAAAGGTGAAATACCTTGAGTTGTACTCTCTGACGTGTAAACTCTAGAAAAGGATAGACATTTAATAAACCACACACTTTACCTTTTATTGAGCTGAAGGAGAAATAGGGCATTTGACCAATTTTAAAAGATTTCTAAATTTAGTTGACTTTACTGGGGTTTAGGGGTTTTTGGCTTTCTTGAACATACTGGGATATTAAAAATTAGGCAGGGAAGATTAAAAAACACCTGTAGGGACTATCAATTAGAAAAAGTGATATTTCATTGAGATCAAAATAATTTTCTGGGAGTCCACATGAACTCATGTGGAACACAGATAAACATGAATTAAATCAGTATTATTGGACAGGAGAAACTGGTTTTTCTACATTCCGTACCAGGATATCAGTAGAAATCCTGGTGGTTGGGTAGGTCTCAAAAGACACGTAGCTTCATTCATTCCGGAACTAAGTGTGTTTTATAGTACCTGTGTACTATAAAACAAGTATTCACTGGATATCATTGCCTTATTCAAGTTCCAGCTTTATGAAGAACTTTTAATGCTAAGGTACTTCATTCCTTTACATTTGTAAATCTACTGTCTGTCCATTCCGAGGGCATATGAGTTCACCCAAACACTGCAGAATTTAGAAGATAAGTGGTCTTGAATAACCAGCCCCAATGGCTGCTCTGCACACACACAGAAGCACAAGCCTCCCCCACTACCCTCTTACCCCTCTATACTTACCCATCTTTCACCCGCACTACTATACACCTTGATTGTGGGTTGTCGGTCCAGCAGTTGGAAAAAGCGTGCGGCTGAGATTTTAGCTTTGGCATAACTTGGGGTATAAGAGAAGGCTCTCCCAAGAGCTGTCGCACTCAGTACAACTGAAGAGATCACCCTGTAGTTGGACAGACACCCAGGTAGAAAGGGCGCGGTGTGGTTGGTGTCACGGCCTAAGAGGCAGGAGTTTGGGGGTCTAGCCCTGGAAAGGACTGAGCAGCCTTGAGCAGGTCTCTTTAGACTTGTCTGGGAATGGGAGATTGGAGAGATTAGCCTTTTTCAAATTGTGTTCTAAGAAGAAAGGGTGAGGGGAGGATTGAACAAAGGGGGCTCAGATCTCCAAACCCTGCTTCAACTACAACAGCATTTTTAAAAAAATTTGTTTGAGGAAAAAAGGCTTCTTAGAAAAAAAAAAAAAAAAAAAGAGGGAGGTTGAAAGATCACTGGATTGGGTTGCATTTTTACAATGTTAACATTCTATGAATCTATGATTAATGTGTAAAAGACAATTATTGGCGATATAAGCATCAATTCTGTACCAAGCAAGCATGTGATTCATGCTTCAGACAACATGATGCAATTGCCTGTATCCTTCTACTTGTCCCAGCCTCAATGTGTGCATAATTAACGAGCAAATAAGTGAATAAATAAATGAATGATAAACATGATAAGAGGTAGCCCTTTTGCTCTATAGACCATGCTGCGAGGGGCGCCCCCCGAAGTTGTCCACCTGCACTGCAATGCACCATGGGGCCTGCCTCAGTGCGGGTGGGGTGGTGTGGGGTGTCTCTGTGTGTTTTACTGCTCAGTTCATAAGCAGAAATTGTTTTAGGCCAGACTGGCAAAGCCAGACATCTCTAGGAGCCCAGTCCAAAACTTAAAGCTATGACAAGCACCCGGAATAAAATAGGAAATGATGGAAGGTCATCTTTCATTTTTTAAAGAGAAGCCAGAAATTGGGAGCTTTCTGCAGTGTCCCAATTTTTACACGTTGGCAAATAACTATTCAAAAGTCTTGCATAAACTAAACAAGTCAAGAGTTTGTGATTTCTGATTTGGGGTTAGTAGCTCTACATATGCAAAAATTTAGAAAGGAGACTTTCCTGGTTGAGGTGGGCATAGTGGGGCAGGAGAAAAGAATTTCCTCTATATTTCTAGAAGAAGATAGAGTGCGAGCAGACAGAACTCGTGGCTGGAGAAGAGATTTCTTTTAGGGCTGATTTTCCTAATGCCCTCCAAGGCTTTCTCAGACCGTCTCCCCCGCATTTTTCAAGGTTCCCTGCCCCATCACGCCACACCCATATGCATGTGCACCCAGTCCCTTGGTACCTTGACACACTTAGGTGTCTGGAAATGTGAGAAACTGGACTCAAAGCTAAACTTATTAGAAGAGCAGACTCCAGCTATAAACAAAAGAACAAAATTCCCCTGACTAGTCTTTGCTGTCTCTACATAGGATGAGTCAGCTAGACATGTGCCTTCTTTACAAGAAGTAGAGCTCAAATAAGGTAGTTCTAGGAACCATCTTATTCAAGGACTTTAGATTTTCTCAGCATTAACCAGTATGGTAGATTGTGAAAATGCTTAATTTGTCCTATTACTCTGTACACACCCTTTTGCAATATGATTTTTTATTCCTCTGTGATATTGTGACTTATGATAAGAAAACTATATTGGTCTTTTGTCAGTTCCTGGCACAGACTCCTAAACCCTTGGAATTTCCCAAGTTTTCAGAGGACCGAGGTGTCTTTTGTTAATGAAGTGACTTTGGTAAAAACTCTAGATAACCTAAGGATGGGGCCTGGTTGCCTGGAGAGCCAACCATGCGATTAGAGGGGTGGAACTTCAGTCCCTTCCCCAACCTCAGGGGAGGGGAGAGGCTGGAGATTGAGTTCAATCGACAATGGTTAATGATTTAATTAGTCAGGTCTACGTGATGGAGTCTCCATAAAAACCCGAAAGACAGGGTGCAGAGAGCTTCTGGGCTGGTGAACACGTGGAGATTTGAGGAGAGTGGCATTCTTGGGGAGGGTATGAAAACTCCAAGCCCTTCCCACATACCACACTCTATGCATCTCTTCCATCTGGCTGTTCCTGAGTTGTATCCTTTTGTAATAAACTGGTAATCTAGTAAGTACATGTTCCTCTGAGTTCTGTGAGCCGCTCTAGCATATTAATCAAAGCTGAGGATGAGGTCATGGGAACCTTGGGTCTACAGCTTGTTGGTCAGAAGCACAGGTGATGACCTGGACTTGCTTTGGTGTGGAGGGTTGGGGGAGGGAGGGGCAGTCTTGTAGGACTGAGCCCTTAACCTGTGGGAGGACCCAACGCTATCTCCAGGTAAATAGTGTCAGGATAAATTGAACTGTAGGACAGCCATCAGGTGTCAGTGCCATGCGATAGCCATGTGAGAGTAAAGGAGGAACACTTATCGGACCCTCTCATCAAAAGATGGGGTCCGTTCCTCTTTTCTCTGAATCTGGACTTGGTCATATGACTTTCTTTGGCCAAAGAAGATATTAGAAAATGTGATGCATGCAGAGTTGGCAAGTGCTTGCATGTTGGGTCTTGCAATCTTCTGTTGCACTTGGAACTCCGAGAGCACAATGTGAAGAAAACAAGCTCAGCTGCTAAGAGGCCATGTGGAGAAAGAAGGGCACTCAGAAGCCTGACTGAGTCAGCCCAGTCCAGAAGAACCACCCTGACAGCACACAGAATCTTTAAGAAATATTAATCTGAGCTGTTTAAGACGCCATGCTTGGGACGGTTTAAGCAGCAGAAGCTAACGGATAGAACCAGACCATTCCTCCCTGGAGCGCTGATCTTTTATGACTCTGGCCAGGTAGTCCTCACCTGAACACATAGCTGAAATGGAGCCCCTCACTGGGAATTAAGTAACCTCCATATCTGTAGGAAGCAGAATTAGCAACGAACACAATGCACTGGGAAAAACCAAAGCAGAATCCGTAAACATTTGCTTTTCGGATGGCTGTCTTGTATGGCTTCTCCAGTTCAGTCTCAAACACTTCTATAAACTGCCTCTCCTTTCCAATCCCAGCCACAGTGCGAATATTACTGAGGGCTTCATTTGTAATCTGAAGAATGGAAAAGAGTTTTAGAAATAAAAGAGCAGAGATAACTGCTTTCATGACATTTTCAACCGTTACATGGATTAGACCTGGTGCAAATGACAGAAGGCAGTATACAGCACAGATGGGGGCATCATCTGGGAACATAGAGAAGTTGCTGGAGATCAATTTGACTGGACCCTGAGACATTCTATCAGTTCAACACAAGTTCTGCTTGATCCTAACATGGCTTTGTTGCCTCTACTTGTTGAGGAAGAGAGAAGAGGGGGAAAAACGGTACACAAGGCTATCTTTGTGAATTCATTTGAAATGTTCAAAATGGTATCTTTAAATGTGTCTGAGAGAAAGATTGTTTAATAATAGAAACCTAAAATATTAGATTCTATTTCTTAAAAAATTATGACCAAATACTATATAAGATAGATTAAAACTGAGTATGAAGTTTATCTTTTAGTCTATACTACAAATTTGTATTTGCTTCAATCCCTACTCTAAGGTAAATAACCACTGTTTCTGAATTACGGTCCTATCCTAAAAAAGGTACAAAAGTGGGCTACTTCCTACTATCGGCATACGAAATTCTTTTGGCTTCTGCCTACTTGGGCGATGTTCACATTCCCTCTTTAAAGAGAAAAAACCTAGTTTAGAGTAAATTTGTTAAAAGGTGAGGGTGTGTATATGTGTGTGTGCATGATTCTTTATCCCTGATATCTGTCCATGCCACCATATCTTCATTTACCTCTGATAACCAGATTTAATTAGAACATACTCTTAAAAGTGCATAGCTGGGCTTCCCTGGTGGCACAGTGGTTGAGAGTCCGCCTGCCGATGCAGGGGACACGGGTTCGTGCCCCGGTCCGGGAAGATCCTACATGCCGCGGAGCGGCTGGGCCCGTGAGCCATGGCCACTGAGCCTGCGTGTCTGGAGCCTGTGCTCCTCAACGGGAGAGGCCACAACAGTGAGAGGCCCGCATACCCAAAAAAAAAAAAAAAAAAAAAAGTGCATAGCTAAAACCTAAGTGTATTCAAGACCTAAACTGTGTATATCTCATGGTTCTCTTTGGGAAAGACATTTGCCACAAGTCAGGCAGACACTGAAGTGTGAAAGTTAAAAGCATGTGCCATTAAAAAGATAGTAACTCCTCTCTGTGTGGTTGGCATGACCTGGAGAAACCATTAAGCTGAAAAAACCAAATAAAGAGGAAAATGAACTATCCTCTCTTGCAAAGGAGAATACTACACCTAACTGGGATGTATAAAAAATAACTGTTTGACAGGAAACTGAACATGTAACCCTCTGTGTTTTCCCCACTATTTCTCCACACCTGCTCAATCTCATATCATCAGAGGCGTATATGAAAAAGGCTAATGGGAAGTTTCTAACCATGAATGTTTGTAGGCTGACAGTTTCCTTAAGTCTGTTTGCACCCCTCATTCTTAGCAGTCTGACAGCCACTCAGCCATAAGCAGTCTGAAAAGTGGGTCTGGGAGATTACCTGTCCTGCGACCTCCAGAGCCTGCTTGTCATGAGTGGCAAATCCCATCAACATTTTGGTCTGTATGGCTCCCGATAAAGCCAGGAAGGGGAAGAAGCACACTATGACCAGGCTTAGCTTCCAGCTAAAGAAGAAGGCGATGATCATGGCCACGGTGATGTTAGTGAAGGAATTGACCATCATCCCAATCTGAGAGCCGGCAGCCTGCAAACCAAATGTGATCAACCAATTTCAGACACACAGTCTCTAACTAAATATCATGAAAAAGCTATTTGTAGCAAACAGATAGGTTTTAAAAAATTATTTTGATGAAATATACATAACAATGTTTACCATTTTAGCCATTCCTACATGTACAAGACAGTGGCATCAAATACCTTCAAAATGGGAACTATCACCACATTTATTCCCAAAAGTTTTTCATCATTCCTAACAAAAACTATACCCATTCAATTTAACATCCCCTTCCTCCCTCTCCCCAGCCAGCGCCTGTTAACCTCTATTCTATTTTCTATCTCTATGACTTTGCCGATTCTAGGTACCACATGTAAGTGGAATCATACAATATTTATCCCTCTGTGTCTAGCTTATTTTATCAAGCATAATATTTTCAAGATCCATCCATGTTACCGCAGGTATCAGGATTTCATGTACTTTAAAGCCGAATAACATTCCATTGTGTGTATATACCATATTTTGTTTATCCATTGATCTGTTGATGAAAACTTGGGTTGTTTTCACCTTTTGGCCATAATGAACAATGGTGCTATGAATATGGGTATATAAGTATCTGTTTGGTCACTGCTTTCAACTCTTTTGGATATGTACCTAGGAGTGGAATTACTGATCATATGGTAGTTCTATGCTTTAAAAAGGGAGGGTCTTTTAATTAAAGAGCTCCCCCACAATGCACTTGAAGGCTGGATTAATAAAAGTACATCTTATTCATACCTTCTTGGGAGCTCATGTATTGACTAATCTCATTTCATGGGTATCAGAGCTAGACCAGTCAGCGTGAGATTAATTCTAGTGATAATGAATAACCTATAAAAGCTCCTTGCAGATTGAAGATTGCAAAAATAGAAGAGATGAGATTATGGCTTATTTATTTAATCTAAGGTCAAGAATAAGGTGAACTAGACACTAGAATACTCAAATGTTGAGAGTAAAATTAGTAAAAACTTTAAGCAGTAAGACAATGTATATTAAAACCTTTCAAAATGATTACACATTTTGATCCAGTGATTATATTTTGAGAACTAAAAAAGTAATCAAGGGTATGTCACAAGCTTGATGCAAAATGATATAAATTGCTTATGTGGGGAGGGAGGACCTAAACGGGGAATTCTTTAAGAAATGATGATATATTAAAATGATGAATTAAGCATTCATTAAAAATTCATTGTAGAAGGATATATAAGGACCAAAATATGCTCACATCACATTGTTTCAGGAGAAAAAAGAAAGATTACAAAATAATATGTATGGTGTGACCCAATGACTGTGGGAAACACATTTTCTATTTATACAATAGAAAAAGCGTAGAATGATCAAAATGAAAATTTTACAGGGATTTTCCTCTAAAGAGGATGCCATGTTCCTTTGAAATCCTCCATATCATGGTTCATATTGTTGGTTGAACTGGTAGAAGTCGAGATATACAGTACAGCACTACCAATCCAGTGAGTTTTTTCTTCCAAGAGCCTCACAGGCAAACCATGACTTTTCTTTTTCCTCTTTTTCTGATTTTCATGGAAAGTGAGCAGTGGCGTTGAGAGGCAAACTGAACTTTCATCCCTTTAACCCAAATGCCTGGTTTTATAAAGGTGTAGCCTCATCTTGTACACATGTTTAAATCTCCTGAACAAGGCTACAGGTTCTGGGGTTTAGAAACCACAGCTTAGTCTCCCTTAGTCAGAAAAGACAGCCCTTGGAATGTGTCAGGATTCTAGATAGCAACCATCTCCTGTCTTTCCCTCAGGTTCCCGGCTGGGCTGCTTAGAACAGCTTCTTTTCCTAAGACTAACTTACAAGCCAGGCCCCTGTGGAAGGAGGCTTTTTTCCACACACACCCTCTGCGGGTGCCATTAAGTCTTGTGGAATCTGAGCCTCTGGGCCTAAAAAAAAAAAAAACCGATCTGAGAAAGGAGGGAAAGTTCTTCTCAATTGCTAGACTCAGAGGAAATGCAAAACTGACAGATTTTGATTCATGCCATAACACTGATTCTGGGCATTACCTAGGAGACAGTATGTTTTAGTTGCTGTTTGTCAACTTTGGAAATGGGCAAAAGTGTAGCTCTGGGGTATCCTCCCTCGAGTTCCTGTTTTATAGGAAATATGTACGTGGTTATTGGAATTACGTGATTATTGGAATACATAAAGGAAAGAAAGTCTACTCCAGTTACTACGTGCCTGGTTTCCACCACGCTTACCCCTTGAACTTGAGAAGCATCTGTAGCAAGCCTTGTTGTCAGTGCTCCAGGGCTATTTCTGAGGTCATCAAACCAGCCAATGTCTTGCCCTAACATTGCTCTGAAACCCAATTTACGTAGCCTTTTTGTGAGGAGTTCCCCGGATTTAGCAAAAGCATATCCCTGAAACATAAAGGAGTCTTTAGTGATATTTTAACAGGAAAAGGGGGAAAATAACTAAATCGCTTACTGAAAAATAAAATTCCTTACCTGCAGAAATTGAGTGCAAAAAGATACACAGCCTATTGCTACAAAAAGCAGGCACACACCATGGATCTGTGACCTTTGTTCTTCTTTATCAGGAATTGAAAAAATCTTTGCAAGACAGTAAGCAAGGAAGTAACTTTAGTATTAACAAACAATAGCAAAAGAAATCAATTCAAATATGTTTAAGAGAAATTTCTCTTAGGCTTTGGGTTAAAAACCAGTTCACTTTAAACATACTAGTGTTAAACCAAAGTTAACTATGAACATGTGCACTTAATTCTCTGTGGGGAAGGAAGGCTGGTGAGCAAAACCCAGTGGTTATGACTGACAGAATTTTTGTCTCGTTTCTTTGCTTGATGTAGGCAATTTTATTGGCTTTTCTTTGATACAGATGAAAAATATGATGAAATGCCTCAAATTCTTTACATAATAAGGCAAGGAAAAGAAGAAAGGAAGGAAGAAAAGAAGAAGGAAAGGAGGAAGGAAAGAAGTGGGGAAGTTACTTGAGAATCTGAGAATATTATTCTGGGACAAAACTCAAAGTAATATGACCTATGTCTTTCCCCAATAATAAAGATGGCTTTCACACTCAGGTACCTCGCCTATTATTAGTTTTGTAGATTACTTATATATATATATACAAATAATAGCATCATTATAAAAGCAGCTGGCACACACACACAAAAAAGCAACTAGCTATCAAGGCACTGACTGGAATTGTCTTAGGACAGAAAAGCTTCCATCCATCAGAGGCTGAAATTGTTGCTTCTAAATCACCAGAAGCTGAAAACATTCCCCTCAAAAAACTATGGAAATTATGAGTGGGGTTTTTTTTTCAGTCTATAATAAGTGGTAAACTATACTCATAAGTATATTCTGAACTTACAGGCACATGCTCAAGTAACTGACTGGGACCCACGCTGTTGCAATAAGAAAATGGAAAGAATAGCTGCATATTGTAATGACGTCGCCCTACAGTGAAATAGATCTTAGGTGCATCAAAACCCTCCTAATTCAGACTGAGGGAACTGTGAGAGTTTAGAAAAGCTATTTATTAGAGAGCTGCACAATAAATCCTTACTTATTGCTCTGCATTAATTTGAGTAACTAGAACAATGCCAGAAAGCAGTTGCTCAAAGGAAACCATTTATTCAACAAATATTTACCGAATGCCTGCTATATGCCAAATAAATCTCCTGTAAACAATGCAAACTACTCCATTAACAAATCCTTTTTTGTAAAGCAGAAGTAACCCGTTGAAATTATCACAAATTCCAAAGTAGGGGGAGGGGTTCTAAATTAATGAGATGTACTCTTTCTAGGACAGAGCTTTTGGGCCTGTTATGGTTCTTAGCAATAAAGAATACACTCATTCTTAATGAATGAAGTGGGTTCAAAAGATGCCACAGTCATTCACCCCACCATGGAATAACTCATGTAAGTTTACTTTACAGTTTACAAACACAAGGACTTAAAGATATATTTCAGTTTGGTTTTAAAAATCACTATACAAATCCCCACAAACCCCACACGGTGATGCCACAATTCTCATTCCTCTCTAAGGTCACCTATTATAATCATGGACTATCATACTGCATATTAGCCAGTTTAACTCTTATTTTATAGATGGGAAACTAAAGCCCACAAGATCGAGTCCTTTGTCCAAGTTCATTTAGCTGGTGGTTATTATTAGATAAGGAAATGCCTGGTTTCCAGATTCCAGTGCAGTGGTTTTCTTCTGGGCACGCTCTCTTGGCTCTTGATATTACCCGTCTTCTCAGGGTTAAAAAAGAATGTTTGGCTAATATTAAATTCAAGATTGGGCACCAGCTGTCTGTAACCTCCCCCCCACCCCCACCCCCGCTGACAAATTCTACTGCATGAGTTCTTTGTACATTCTTACTGAAATTGTAACCCAAAGGGCTGCCCATCCCCCGGTTCTTCTGTTTTTAGACTAGCTGTAGTTCAAGCACACATCTACATCATTTTGTAAAGGTAAGTTTGTTTAAGGAGAAAATGAACATTCTCTAGACTCTTGCTATTTACCAGATGCAAATGTGTTACTTAACCTACTTTAACTTAAATGAGGATTTCCTTAAATTAGGATTCTTAAAACAACCCAGTGAGGTAGATTTTCTCGCCCTATATTATAGATAAGGAAGCTAAGACTCATCAAGGGGAAACCACTTGCCCAGATGCATGCAGACAGCACAGAGCAGAGACCTGCGGCAAGCCCAGGGCTGGCTGACTCCAGCGTTCATGCTTTTCCCCAGCATGCTATGTCCAAACTGCAGTGCTTGGAACACTTGGCACCTTTTCCAAGTCAAATAAACCCAGGGAAAGTGCACCAGAGAAATTATGCTTTATGTGTACATTGAGGCTTCGCTAGATTAGCAACCAGGCCCCTAACGCCCAATCATTTGCTGGGCCCTCGTTCCAAACTGTGGTCTCAGTACCAACTGTGAATATTGTGCCCTTTAGATATGTCAGAATGAAAACAGTGCAATTAAAACCAGACTATTATCTGACTCATGATTATACCCTACGAGATGAAAGAAAGCATCATGAACCCACTGATGAATATGTGATAATTATGCTAAGAGGCACACAAAAACAACCTTCTTTATCAAAGAAGAAAAATAGTAAAGCTTCATCCTCTTAGCGAATATAACCCTGTGAGAGCCTTAACGATGAGCAGATTTTGGATTTAACCAACTAGATCCTGCTACTCTGATCCTTCGGTCCTTAAGTGAAAAGCTGAATTGCTCAGGCTAGGATTTTCTGGTTGTGACCAGAAGAATCACAGAGAATATTCTCACCACCAATAACCAAGGGCAGGGGTTATAACTGGATCATCAAATTTTTTTTGACTTGGCCATTTCATAGACCACTAGAGCTGGAAGTTATCTTACAGATCATCTTTGTCAATCCTTCCTTTTATAGTTAAGGAAACTGAGACCCAGAGAAGTGGCATGATGTGACCCCAGGGCAGAAAAATAGTCTCCTGGCAGGGAACCCAGGACTCTTCCCAAAGCAGTTCATACACAGGGTTTGGGTGAAGTTGAGTGAATGCATTCCATACTCTGCATTTATAAGAGAGAAAGAGATGATCAGCAAAGAAGTTGGCATCCTGGAATTATTTTAAAAGTGAACATCTAGGGCATAGTCTTGGGTCTTAACAGATTCAGTGCCACCCCCTACACGCTCTACATCTGCATCACTGCTCAGTGGCATGCATTTCCAGAGCCTGTCCCTGGTAGAATGTCAGCTTTATGAGAGCAGGAGGGCTCTGGTTTTCTTGCTCCTCCTGATACCAGCAACAGTGTCTGGCAAACAGTAAGTGATGTGTAAATATTTGATGAATGATGAGTGGATTTTTTTTTTGCGGTACGCGGGCCTCTTACTGTTGTGGCCTCTCCCGTTGCAGAGCACAGGCTCCGGACGCGCAGGCTCAGCGGCCATGGCTTACGGGCCCAGCCGCTCCGCGACATGTGGGATCTTCTCGGACCGGGGCACGAACCCGTATCCCCTGCATCGGCAGGCGGACTCCCAACCACTGTGCCACCAGGGAAGCCCTGATGAGTGGATTTTTTGGTTTAATGTCTGTCTTCCTCATAGACTGGAAACTGCATTAGGGAAGGCACCCTGACTGACACTGTGTTCCCAAGTCCCTAATCTAGGGGAGATAACCAACAAACACCTATTGAGTGAATAAAAGAACATTTCTATTATGTTTAGGGTATGGTATTTACTAGATATTAATGAATATAAATTAATTATTAAAATATTTTCAGCATAACCAGAAATTCAGTTTACCAGAGTTGGCCCCTGTGTTTCCAATTTCCTACTTTTCTGATGATTTCCTCACTTAACACAAGGGGGCAGTGTGAACATTGAAGCGGTGGCTGAGGCCATCCCTATAGAATTGATTTTTTTTTTTTTTTGCGGTACGCGGGCCTCTCACTGTTGTGGCCTCTCCCGTTGCAGAGCACAGGCTCTGGACGCGCAGGCTCAGCGGCCATGGCTCACGGGCCCAGCCGCTTCGCGGCATGTGGGATCTTCCCGGACCGGGGCACGAACCCACGTCCCCCGCATCGGCAGGCGGACTCTCAACCACTGTGCCACCAGGGAATCCCTATAGGATTGATTTGATCTTGCTTGTGGACTATACAAGTCTTTCTATACACCTCATGCCTGAGGGGACTTAACTTCTGGTCAGGAACTTTGCCAGAGAGACCGCAAGAGAGAAAGAACAGCAGAGGAGGAAACTAAAACTTAGGACTCTCACAAATCCTTCAAAAAAGCTGGTGCTAGTCCTGGTCCCATCACCCAATGTGACCCTGTGTCACCTTGAACAAGTTGTTACAGTTCTCTAGATTCTAGGTTTGCCTCCTTGTTGATCTCACAGGATTTGTGCGTGTGTAAATTTCAACTAAGAAAATGTGATAGCATTATTGAGAACTAATTTTGCAATGATAAGGTTTTATTGGAACTTGGCTCTGCAGTCACACTGCCTGGATTTAAATCCCAGATCCACCAGTCGCCCCCCTAAGTTCTTTACGCCTTGGTTTGCTCCTTTGTCAAATGGGAACAATGAGGATACCTACCACAGGTGGTTATTAGAAAAGTTTAGTGAACTATCGTATACCAAGTTCTTAGATAGCACCTGGTTATTGTTTGTAGTCATTATTATTATTGTATTATAACAATGAAGTCAGATGGAGAATATCAAAACTCCTAGGAGGTGAGAAACTGAAATAAGCTTATCCTTTATCCATGCCTTATTTTACTTCTCTCTTCCTTTTCCTGTTTTCTCCCCACCTCCCCATTTCAATGGTGCAACCAGCAGAAGAGAAGAGCATTATACAACATGCATGAACACCTGCTATTACAAGTCAAACTTTGTACCTCAGCTGTTCAGCAAGATCAAAATGGCCCCCCAATCCTTTTGTATTATTCAACCAACCTGCTTTGCATTCTGATTTGGTTTGCATATAGGTAAACTGCCCTCTTTTGACACTAAATTTGCAGCCATAGTGCTGTTTTTTTTACAGACACGATGCCTGTTGGAGGGTGCTGCCAGCCCAAATGAAATACCGCTTCACCTTCTTGCCTCCTGTATGATGGAGACTCGAGACATTTTTAATCCTTTAGAGATGAGAAAAAAGAGCTAAAAAAAAAAGCTTAAAAATAAAAAAGAGCTAAGTCCATTACAACAAAGAGCCAACCTATCAAAAATGACAATATCCACTGATAGACAAACCAAAGGCAGGAGGAGAATAAAGCTGGTCCAGCTGTTTGCTTACCCCAAGAATCTGGCTGAAGAAGAAGGCATAGAAGGGTGTGACTGTCCCATTGACAGCTGCGCCCATAGCCCCTACCAGCATGTAGGGCCATTCTGGAGCGTTAACTTTCAGAATCCTCCTAACTGGGGCAGGTTCAATTTCTTCTTCCACAGGAATGTTCTTGTCCTTGAGGGAAGAGGGAGTTACATTAATCATCTAAATTTCTGCATATACTCTTTTGTTATACAGCAGACCCTTTGGCATTCACAGATTTGAGTCATGGTTTGATTGGTTATGAGTGGCCTTAAAGATCTATGAGACGAAGTGATTCGTTATTTTGTGAAAAATCTTTCTGAATTGCTTGCCACCATGCTGTGACTTGGATGGGATCGATCTTAGAGTGTCTGCTCATCTGAAGGTGAGCTCGTAGTTCTCATTTCACAATTGCATAGGTATTAACTCTTGGGGAGTAATAAATACGTTGGATCTGTAAGAAAAATAACCCCCCAGTTTTAAAAAGTTTTTGTGCTATAGTGGTATTTACATATTTGAGGACTTGTGAAATTTTCAAGATATGTCCTTCATAAATGTCAAAGCTCTAAAATCTTGTAACTGGCTAAAGCTCTAAGGCAGGCCAGTGTATCTAAACAAGGCAAAATAATTTTAAAAATGTATTAAGTGGTGTCGACGGTTATCAATTGCATGTTTTCTCTAAGGTTTTCCTTAATTAATGCCCAGAAGTAAATGGTAATCAATTTGGATTTCTAAATTCTGCATTTTCTTCACAAGGAGTAAAAACTATTTCAAAATTTCCCTATTCCAATTTCTTTTTTTTTTTTTTTGTTAACCGGCCCCTCCCTTTTTTGGCCTCTCCCGTTGCGGAGCACAGGCTCTGGACGCGCAGGCTCAGCGGCCATGGCTCACGGGCCCAGCCGCTCCGCGGCATGTGGGACCTTCCCGGACCAGGACACGAACCCGTGTCCCCTGCATTGGCAGGCAGACTCTCAACCACTGTGCCACCAGGGAAGCCCCTCCAATTTCTTTAGTTGCCATTAAAGTGTCAGAGCTAGCAAATTTTTATCCTCTTAAAGGCAAATATATTCAGAACATCATCGCTTTTACCATCATTTTTCCTTGTTATAGATATTGTTCAGTGCTTGGTCTTTAGGCCCATTATTCAATAATCTGTTAAATTTATTGCCCACTTTGTTTGAGAAAGGCTTTTAGGTGACGTATATAGATCTGTATTGGTTTATTTTTTACTTTTTCTATTAAAATATACTAAAAATGTCTACAGCAAATTGACTACAAAACTATTAGTGCTCTCTTTCATTAATACGCATTTACCCCTTAGGGAGCTGAATGCCAGGAAAAGAAGACAGCAAGGAACTTAATACTATCCTTTTGCTTCCAAAGTCAAAGTCTACATTACCAAGTCAATTGAAATAAAAGGCTGGTGTCCCTCTCATTCTAGTTGCAAGCCAAATGGGATGGACGAAGGCAGCTCAGCTGGTGATAGATTTGTCAACGCCTCCGTCTCAAGTTCTCTCTTGGCCTGCCCTCAACAGTTGCACTTGTCATTACTACTCACTCATGCAGCAAATCCTTCAATGATTTCACCTCTGACATCTTACTAAACTCTAGGAAATCAATGCAGAGAGGAAGACAGGTGGCTGGGAAAGCATGAGGGAAACAGGTGTAGAAAGAATGGGGTTCTTGGATGAGCCTCATATGGCAACTAATGGAATATATCACTGAGTTCTTTAACTCTCTGAGGCTCAGTTACCTCCTCCTCAAAAGGAAAGTTGTGTGGGGAAGACAATTCTCTATGGGTCTCTCATGTTTCTGCACATCTTGTGAAAAGAGGCACTGACTTCCTTTGTTCAGGTTATTTCTTCAAGGATATTTGTACAGCAAATAGCCTTGGAGGACAGAGGTAGTGTTCTCCATCCCAAGAAAAGGACATTATAAAAATTTGCCCATTATAAAAACATCAGGTTCCTCAAGCCCAGGATTCCTCTCCCCATTCATTTGCTGGTATCATCTGGCTCTCTTTGCATCAACTTAACGGGAAGTGGGGTTGGGCTGGGGAACTAGTGCAAATGCTCTACTCTAGCTCCTGCTTGTGCTGAGTAAAAGGTCGTTTGTCTCTGACGCAGGGCTCTTGTGTATTCTGCCAGCATCCATGAAATTGGGTCAGGCTATAGCTTGCAATAGAGCAAAATATCAGACCCTTTACAGTTCTAAACAGTGGTTGGTGTCCAGTTCTGGATGCTTACCAGACTCATGTGGGTCGAAGATTAAAATTACAGACACCTGGGTCCCACCAACAGCACTTCTATTTTAGGAAGCCTAAGTGTGAATTTGTGTTTTAAAAAATAATCCTCAGGTAACTCTGATGACAAAGCCCATTTTTTGAGGTCCTCAGCAGTACACAATCTCCAAAACTCCTTCCAGAACTAAATGTTTGGGGTGCCATGTTTGAACATTTTGAAAGTGTCAGCTGTGCTATACCATCTAGGGACATTAAACTCCAACATTTCCTGGAACCACTGTCCCACAGGATGGTCCACCCACAGTCTGACATGATACAAATCTCCCTGGTCTTCTGATATCTGAAGGTATCCCTAAACCTTAACAACAAAACCAAAGACATCTAAAAGCAGTATGAAGTACCTTTTGTCCAGTAGTTAACATTCCAAGATAGGCTAACAGGAAGCAAAATTTAATTAATTTGAATAATTTTCTTTTTTCCCCTTTCATTAAAAATTTGACTTTAAAGGAAACTATGCCCCAACCCCCAAAAAGATGAGGCTATTAAGACTGAATGATGCAAAAACTAGGAAATCTGTCCCTGAGTAATTGACTTTTGATTGACTTTTATTTAATATTGCTAAAAGACAGTAGAAGAATAAAAGAAAATTAAAGTCACTATGTACAGAAGGGTTTTTACCTCTGGGATTTTGCAAAGCTAAAGATGAATTTACTCATCTAAAAAAAGCTAAAAAGCTAAAGATTTTATATATTTTTATATATATATATATATATATATATATAGCAAACCAGTAACTCACAGAAAAATACAATTATAAAAGTTTATATATGCCTCCTCACTGCAGGGTTCCTGCCTCTATTGTGTCAATGTCAAGTTGCACAGTGCTCCTTTATTTATCATATGTCATGAAGGATCCTGCTAGCAGCTCCAGTGCAGGGAGAAGGACAGTGGCTCTTGTTCATCTTTGCATCCCTAACACAATACCTGGCATGTGATAGGTGTGCAATCAGTGTTTATTGGATGAAAGAATGAATGAAGCTTTTATGCCCGTGGCGCATACATGCAACAAAACATTTATTTAAAAAACACTGATCACTCACTTACAATGTAGATGGTACAATGCTAGACAATGAGCTTTTTCCAGCTTCCTTCCTTCCATCTCCTTGTGTAGGTCAGGTGAAAATATAACTTCCTACTTAAACCTTATGTCCCGATTTCTATAATTTGTTACATTGACTTTGTCATGCCAATCCATAGGGGTCTCCTGCCTCGATAACGACTTTAAGATATGATAGGAAATGGTAACTATGACCAAGAAGCAGGGACTCTCCAAATAACCAAAAACTGATAGTCATTTTTATAGATCCTCTGCCCTATCTCTCAACCATTGCCTAAACCCTGTCTCCAAATTAGCTGTGATGAAGCTATGGATTTCTAATATTTGACCTTGACTCAATCTCCTATATATTCTACCTTTTTAGTTTCCCTAAAAGAGATGCCTAGATATCAGAGACTGGAACCTCTAGCCTGCAGGTTTCCCCTAATCCTACTCTTAATGTTGTCAGCATTGTAACTAAGATCTGACTCCATTTATGAGAGCCAAGAGTATAGCTTGGAGAGGAAGAGAAAACAGGCTGTAGTCATGGCTCTGTCACCAGCTAACTATGAGATGTTAGGTCAGACACCCCACTTAGAGTTTGGAAGGACAGACTTTTAAAACCATTTCCTGAAGTTTTTGGAGTCAAGACACCCCACTTAGAGTTTGGAAGGACAGACTTTTAAAACCATTTCCTGAAGTTTTTGGAGTCAAAACTCTAAGAGACCACAAGGTGGAGATAACTCCTTTATATAAGTAAAACTTTTGCACTGCCACAGAAGGTAGAACATCTCCCAATTAACAGAAGGTCAGGTTAGAGCTTCTTCATCAAAATAAGGAAAAAAAAAAAAATTTGCCAGTGCTTAATCTTACAGAATTTAGTTAACTATTAAAAAACTTTAAAATGTACTTGGATGAGAAAGTCCATACTTTAACCAAACAGGATTAAATTTTATTAACCCTGATTCTGTTGTTTACTTTTAAAAGATACTTAATTTTTAAATCAAAAAGATTCTAATATAATTATCCTACAAATGAGCAGTATTAATATAAGCATAAGACCTTTATTCGCTTCAAGCTTTAGCAAAATCGCATTGGTGTCCCTGTCACTTTCTTCCTTTCTTCATTTTCCTTCCTTAACTAGAGAGAGAAATCAGAGTGTCAACTTAATAAAATTACACTGGGTTATGGAACATTTTTGTTTCTCTAAAACTAATCTCTATATTTGATTTAGGTTTCCATTTATTTAAATATCTCCCTTCTGAGTTTTCCCTGCCTCATGAGAACTCTGGGAACATGATCTTCAGACCTCCAGGAAATCTGATTGTTCTCTGTAACAATGCCGAGCCATCTACCAGCTTCAACAAAAACAACAAAATTGAATTTTCTTTTCCTTCGTTCCTAACGCTCTTGCTTTTATTGTCGAATATTTACCCAGAAACTAGGGGGAAAAAATTAAAATGCAAAAATTGAATATGATTGGGACTTCCCTGGTGGCACAGTGGTTAAGAATCTGCCTGCTAATGCAGGGGACACGGGTTCGAGCTCTGGTCCGGGAAGATCCCACATGCTGCGGAGCAACTAAGCCTGTGTGCCACAACTAGTGAGCCTGTGCTCTATAGCCCACGTGCCACAACTACTGAGCCCACGTGCCACAACTACTGAAGCCTGCGTGCCTAGAGCCCGTGCTCCGCAACAAGAGAAGCCACTGCAGTGAGAAGCCCAAGCACCACAACGAAGAGTAGCCCCTGCTTCCCGCAGCTAGAGAAAGCCCGTGCACAGCAACAAAGACCAAATGAAGAAGCTTCAAGATGG